GCAATAATCAATCAATCTATACATGCCACATATTATGCCATGTATTTGTGAATTCATGGGTGTATTTGATTGGACGGACTGGATAAGGGGGGATTAGAATCCATCGGACTTGAGTCCTGGGACTGTGAATCCCCCGGACTATTTGGTTGGATTAGATATGTATCCTGTATTTGTTTTTTCATGGGATTAGATGTCTGGAAATGACTATTTTTAGTGAATCCAACGTTTGGTTAGACGGACTAGATAGGATAAATGAACAAAAGATTATTTTACCATTTTTCAATTGTTTACTAAGTAATAGCAATATTAAACATATCTTTAATATTTTAATTATTTTTAGCTAGATTAAATAAAAATTTATTTTATTTTATTTTTTACACAATTAAATAAATTTTTTTAAATAAATAAATAAATACATAAAATATCAATAAAAATATATATTATTTTTTAAAATTAAAATTTTAAATAAATTTGTTTTTAAAAATAATAATAATCAAACAATGAAACTAAATAAAACATCTATTAAATTTAAATAATGAAATTAAATAAAATATAAACAAAATTTTAAAATAAAACATCAATAAAAAGTTAAATAAAATTATTTTATTTTTAAATTGAGACATTTAAATTTTATTGAATTTTATTAAATATAATACATAATTAAATAGTAGAAGGTCAAAATAGTCATTTTACTACCTAATCCCAAAAGTAAATTATCCCCCAAAACTGTCTCACACCCCCCGGGATAGTATAATCCCCCATATAGAGGATAAGAAGTCCGGTGATTTTACTTTCTAATTATCAGATTTTAACTTCCAATAAGTTACACTAAACATGACCTATGCTATTCATTTATTGACCTGGAAGGAGGACATGTCATTGAAACTTTTAAAAATATGCAATACGTATACATAGGAAAACTCTAGACTCAGACTTATTCAGAATTTTCTGGGTTGGTGGTTGTATGATGATGATAAAATTTATGTAGTGTAGAATTTATAAGTTACAAAATAAAAATTTTAAATAATTTTTGAATTGTTAATCAATAATATTAATCATATACATAGCATAACATAAAATGCAAAGAACAAGTGTTAGAGAGTAGTGTAGGGTTAAAGTCATATCATATGAATCCAAATTATGGTATTGTTGCAAATTATCTAAATAAGTATATTTTTTGACTTTTTATAAAAATATGTGTAAAAAAATAAATAAAGAGATGATTTGACCTAAAAAAGATAAAAATATAATTTTTTTTTATAAAAAAAGTACTAAAATAGGGGATGCTAAATAGTACCTAAGCTTGACTTTTTGACTATTTGACTAATTTAGTCTGATTACATTAATTCTGTTTGAGAAAAACTTTTGACATTTTTTAGTTTGAATGTAATGATTGTGGGAGAAAAAAAAAATTTATTATAGTTTTAATGTGATAATTTATCTTTAACTTATTTAATATATTTTATCTTTTTATATTTTTTTGAGTGAATTTAACTCTTACCAAACGAGGTTTTCAGTATTTTTTTCAAGAAGAGTGGGGTGTGTAAATTTGACAATAACATGCCCCATATTTGGCTCTTTGAAAGTTTTGGAGGCTGCTGGGTTGCCGAAATCGCAAATGTGAAGATTTGACAATGTTGGAGTCAACTTCTTGGACGGTCTTGATTGTGTGTCCATTGGGACACTTTTACTTCTTGATCAATGATCAGTAGTACAAGTATCATCATATCCTCAGAAATATGTATCAAAAATGTTTTGACTTTAATTAATTAATTAATTTTTATTTTTTGAGATGCCAGCTCAGTAAAATTCTATTTTTATAGGAACCAATCACTGCTGATTATGTATACATACATCTAGTAGGTAGGTCTCTAGAGTAGTAGTAATCACAAAACTAGTATTGTACCATTGAGCATGGCTACATCCATTAAATTGAGACTTGTTTGAATTCTTTAAATTTATATATGTCAGGTGTTTAACAGATCATTCAATAAGATATTAATTATTTGGACGGATACTGATTGAAATATCAATAGATAAGAGTGACAATTGTAATTAACAAAATTGATGTTGATTATCTGAAAAGTCATCTACCAAAACGTCCGATTTATATAATTTTAATTGATGAACATTCTGTATTATTACTCCCTTGTAGTGGAACCCAGTTTCCTTTGCAATATAAGGTGATTGCTTTGACTGATCAACTCCAGCTAACACACCGTGGTCCAATCACATGTTTTGGAGGACACTCTCTTTTGTTTTGTTTTTCTTTTTGTTTTTTTTTTCCCTTTAAAGGAAAATAATTTGATATAAGTTTTTTTTTAAAAAAAATAAATAAATCAAATCAGTGACAAATTCAATTACAATTTTAAATTTTTTCATAAATTTATAATTATTTTACAAAGATACCACTAAATTCTAATTTCCTAATATGTATAATACTTTCAACTAGAGTTCTCTTAATATTTACCCATTGGATCCATTTGAATTTGATATGAATTTACATAAGGGAACAGATTCTTTGGACATTCAACTACAGAGGTTTTGGGTGTTGGAGGCCCCGTTTCGAATTTTTATCTTAGTAATCAGAATCTTTAATATGGCAGGATATAATAAGTAGAATATTTTGTAAAAATTAAGATGATCGAACATCAATAATCGCATGATTAAATCATACTTGTCATAAAAATTAAATAGTCTATTAAAATCACATTTGACATCTATTTTGTTTAAAACAAAATGATTTAATTATGTAATTACCAATATACAATCAACTTCTTTTTTCTTTTTACATGGATTAGAATAAACCTTACAAGTTAAATAATTTGGATCGTTAAGGTGGGTTTCGAAATGATCTCACCAAGCTTAACAAGAGCTCCAATTAGATGCTTAATTGAGTTTATTGCATTTTTTTTATACAAAGTAATGATTTCTTTTAATCCAACAGTAACAAGAAAATTAATTTGAATTACTTTCACTAAACAGAATTTATTTTACTGCAAAATAAATTTAATCCAACAATAAAAAGAAATAATTAATATTTCATATATATAATCATATAATAACAACTCGGATTATTAATGGCCTTGCCAAAATTGAGTTAACAAATTTTAATTTAACTAAAATTTTAAATTATACTGTCTAAACACTAAAATTTTATTGAATAAACTAAATCCGTTCAAATTGCACCTCTTACCCTATATAAAATTACAATCATAACAAAAAATATCAAATATAACATAAAATTAATACAAAAAACTTTTAAACTAAAAAAGAATAACTTTAATAAAACTAAAAAAAATAAGACTTACACACAATTAAAGAGATTCATACCATTAAACTACTAATGAGGTTAAAAAATAAAAAATAAAAAAATAAAAAAAATAAAAAATAAAAAATAAAAAACAAACAAACAAACAATTGAACTAACCATGTTAGAGCAATAATATTTAAACTTCATCATCATTGATATATAAATATTATGGTAAAGTTGATTGAGCATTGGGAGGGTAAAAGATTCTCGTAGAAAGAGATAATTGTCGTCCTACACTAATCATTATACTCCCTCTCTTTTTACATAAAAACATGAGTGGAGTGAGTGAGTAATACCATACTGTGAATCACAAAACCAGTCCCACAGAGAGAGAGAGATAGAGAGAGAGAGGGTCACAATTTTTCTCCAAGTTGGTGAGCAGTCAGTGTTGGTATGCCTTTTGTATATGTAAAATCAGTGTAACTAAAGCCTTGCCGACAAGAATTTCTGTCTCTCCACTAAATGAGTAATTAGAGGAGGACCCCTCCTTCCAAAGCTTATATATCATAATAATACCACACCACCACACACATACTCTCCTCCTCCACCACCATTCATTCATTCTACTTTTCTACTCATCAACTTCTCTAATCACTCACCTAAAAGTGAAACTCCATTTTCATTTGTTTTTTCCTCACATTTTTCACCGTTTGGGGAGGTGGGTGGGTGGGTGAATCTCAAATTCATCATCAATAGAGATTGCTCATGTCATTTTACATGTTTTTAATTTTGGAAGTTTATGTCATAATATTTAGTGTAATTTTTACTTATAACTTAAAGTAGAAATAACTTAAATGAGTTTAAAAAAAATATATATATGTGAAAGTTAAAGAATGTATGTTTGCTAATTATTAACTTTTAACTTAAGAAAAAATACACTAAATAGGTCCTAAGAGATAAAGAGAGAGAACAACGTTTAAAATATTTTGAAGGGTTTTGTATGATGAGAGGAAATGATTAAGTGTTGGTTCTTGCCCTTGCTAAAAATGTGCAGAATGAATAGTCGTTAGCTTTGTATTATTGGAAGACTCTGCTTCTTTCCTTTTTCTTGTTTTTCCAATGATGATGAAGGCTAGCTTTTACTTGGAGATGAAGTGGTCTGATGATGACCATCCAATGTCAAATGACTCCTTATGAACTTTATCCAATGTCAAATAGACCACTTATGATCTATTTTTGCCTTTTCAACAATTGAATTGGCATTACCACCTAAAAAAAATAAAAAATTTGAATTGGCATTGCATACATGCATGGTGCTGTGATTTTGCATTTTTATTCTCTCTGAATAAATTATCCTCAATATTTTTACATTACTCAAACTACCCATAAGATATACAGTCAATTTATCTGATTTTGATCATATAAAACCCAACCTAACTAGTGTAATTGTGAAAAGTTGTGTGTAAGTTGAAATGGAGTCCAAAATAGTACAAATTTGAATGACAATAATAGGATTTTGATCAATATACTCATTTAGGGCTTATTCTTGACTAGCTTATATTCAATTATTGAATTTTTAAAAAGTAATCGAATGCACGAGACTCCAACTAAAACAAAATTTGAGAGAGACAATATACGCAATCTTAACCCATTTATTATGTGAAAATAATGAGGTAAAAATAGCAGTCGATAACCAAAAAAACTTACCCACTTGCAATTTGAGTAGACAGTGACAAATCATACAAGATCGAGAAACATCAAACTAAATTTTTTTTGTAATGTTTTGAATGGCTAGTTCTTACAGGAGTCTAAACAGGACAACAGATATATTTACACTTTTTTTTTTCCCCTGCAAAATCATATAGGCAATAAAAGTAAAAAGACTTTTTATTCATAACATAGAGGAATAGATTTTGACAGAGAATCAAAAATCAAAAATCAAATACAAACCAATAAGCTTTACAACATTTATCTGTGGTATAATAAATATATTAACGGTGAATAATTCATGGATCAAATATGGAAACAAGTAAAAGAACCTCCTCTCTTCCACCATTGCTTGCTTGCTTGCTAGTTTTGGTTCTTCCAAGTCTCAAAGCTATCTGTAACCAGCAATATCCATTCAACTTCGTTGGCGAATCGTTATCAAAGCATCTTCTGTGTTGCTTCATGCCAACAGTCTTCCTCTACTTTGGGTCCTCTCAAAACCCTTTATTTTGCAATCATGTGGAGCATCATCCAATGAGTCTGCATGAACGATACGAGTTTTGGAATGTTTTAAAGAGAAGTTACCCAAAGATGATTTAAATTAAGGGCCCTTTTTATCTCTCCTCTCCATAACAACCAAAACTTGGAAATAGACTTCCACTTCTTTCATGGTGGGGCACCACTCCCTTTAAAAGACACATAAACCACAAGATAGGGATGAGATAACAACAGTGACAACAAGTGCTTCCCCGGCTAGAAGGATATATGCTCTTGGGTCCTTCCGAGGTTGTTGACCCATGTTGCAAATCCTTTTGCTCACTATCAATGAAATGAGTTGGAGCATCGCAACCTCTAGCTTGGCCTCTTTCCAAAAGAAACTTGACAGCAAAAATTACAAATCAAGTTGGTTCTTGGACATTTCTTGCAAAATCCTCTTCAGTCGTGATCTAACAATTTCTATTACTGAACAAACCAAGCATCTTTAGGGAGGCCTCTCCAATCTAATATCTTTGTCAAATGCTTCTGCAATTATTAAAAAAAGTGAGAAAAAGAAAAAAAGAATAGCAAGATATATCAGTTAATCCTTCAGTCTAACTAACAACAAACGATCTATTCAACATTTTAACCATTCTCTCTTATGCCCATTAGTGATGCTTCAAGCACTAATAACAAAAAGGAATAGATGAGTCAAAAAGGCTCAGTAGATCAGTAAAGTATAAACTAAATAAGTAAATATGACAGCTAGAGGTTGTCACAAATGGGAAGAACCTTACCTAGTTTTGGAATATGCTAGTAGTGATATTAAGCTCCATAACTGAACCTAAACCTGAAGTCCATGCAAAATTTGACTCAGATCGTCACTAGACATGGTTGGTAAGGTTTGTGCTCTCCCGTTGCTGATTTTGGGTGTACTGATTCTAGACTTCAAACTCCATCACAATTTAGCTAGAAATTAGACCTCTTTTGAGCAGATAAAGGAACAGATGATAGTGCAAAAGTTTTCATACCAAAAAGAACAAAGATCAACAATCATTCTGCATTGGATCCAATAACACATACAAACAAAAACTGGACACATTGAATCGCGCGCAGACATTTTATCAAGCTCCTAAGGAAGAAACGATTACATGAAAAAAAATAAAACTCAAGAACAGTAGCCAATTATCACATGAACTTACAAATTAAATAGCACTCTTAATGTCCCTCAAAAAACGAAAAAAGAACAGAAAATAGCACTCTTAATGAACAACAGTGAATTTACAATGATGAGAGGCTAATACCTTATTAACTAAACATGGTCTTCAACAAAGCAATACAATCTCAGTGCAGAGTTTTTTCCTTGTACTTTCAGAAGGTGAAGAGTGATATGTATAGGATTAAAGCATGGTTCCAACAATAACTTTAATGTTGAAAAACTCAAATAATGCACAGAATATGTAATTAGGGTCTTGAAGCAAACTGAAAGTCTTGAAAGAAGAGATCCGCAGGAGAGGCAAATCAGTTCTACACAACTGACAAATGCGCAAACCTCATAGAAATCTGATTCAACATTGGAAAATTTGAAATTAAAACCAATGGAGAAATAAAAACCTTCCCTTTCATAAACATTATTCATCCCAAATTACTTAAGGAATCAAAATTTCATAAAATCTTAATGTTTTTACAACTCATGTTTATCATCACAAGCAATAACAGTTTCTTTTCTGCAAACCCATCAAATCAGAGTCAGATGGGAGTGAGCAATGCCGTGAACCATGGAGGTCTGAAGTAGTAAATATGCATAATTCAACTTCTACCTGTAACCTTCTCCCTCCCACCCACAGACCCACAATATTCCAAAAAGTGAAAGTAATAAAAAGAATTCAATAAATTCTACAAATCTGACATTCTAAAGGAGAGACAAAATGTTACACTGAAGATGCATCAACAAAAAACATCATGCAGTACATCATCCTCACCGTTTGCCAAGGCGAACAGCTCTGCATCTTTTTCTTCATCAGTAGAAAAATCCCGCCTCTCAAGCTTCGAATGAGCAGCAATAAATATCAATTTCTGAGCCCTGTCCACGCTTACCCTAGAGTGCCCGTGGGCACTAACCCATCTCAAGAAAGACCAATTGCTTTTGAACCCACATGAAGTTGCATGAAGGAAGATGAGCCTCACTGCAACTTTCCCCAATGACTTGAATTGAGTAAGGTAAGTTTCCCACACAAGCCTACTGCTTTGGGGATTGGCAATTTTCATCTTTCCTGTAATGGGGTCTCTCTGCTTCAACTGCACAGCTTGTGCATATACCGGATCGAGCCCTTCAGTTCTCCATTTCATAAGCTCCATTAAAGCAATATGAGCCTCCTCCCTTGACACAAGCCGGGTTATGAGCTTGTCCACATCCTTTTCTTGCTCAGGTGTCAAGCATTTGAAGGGCGGTAGGTACTTCCCACTGGCGTCCCTAATTAGATAAAATGGATCGAGAATAAATGCAGCAGCCCATGCTGCATGATAGTTCTTTCTGAATCGTCTATCAATCACCTTCTCTACAGGTCCTTCAGCAATGTGGAATCTAGAACTCCAATCCTTCACTTTGGCTCTGAGTTCATCCCATAGAGGAATGCATTGCCCAACCAATGGCCTTTCTGTCTCAATTTCCTGAGCCATTCCCTTGATCAGTTTAACCAATGAGTGCACCGCTTCCAATTCATTCCAAAAATGGGGATCCCTCATCATATCCTCAATCTCTCTAGCAATTTGTTCCTCCATGGACACTATCTTGAACGATTCATCGAGCAAGACCAACTGAAGTGCTCGAGCCCAGCTCAGTATGTCCTCCACCATGGTGTGCACAGGTCCAAAGTTTGATTTGTCGTAGTCACGCAAGGGTACTCTTAACAACCCAGCTTGCCCATACTCTTGCAACTGATACTTATGGAAAGCATTTCGAATTTGAGACTGGTTATTGACAAAATTTGCTAGTTTTAAACAATTCTCAGTCACATTCATGAACAATGGAAGCTCTTTACTCAAGTCCTTAATCAAACTATTGAACCCTTGAAACTGACAAGAAAGATTAACCATCCAATGATGTTGACTCTCTAAACTCTTCAATGCCTTGGCCTTAAACTTGTCTGAAACTATACCTACACATTGATGAACGAGATTCCCACAGATATCCCTGATAGTGTCCCATAAAACCTCCTCTGCATATTTTGAAGGCACAGACCCACTAGTAAACACTGCTCTACGAAACACACTAGTCCCATTGGGAAGATTCACAGCTAAATTCACCAAATTCTCTTCCCCACCATGTCCATAGTTTTTGGGTTTCCATCCATCAGATGAAATTTGAAAGAACATCGCATCTCGAATTCTTACTTCTGACTCTGCCTTTGCTTCCTCATACTTAGCATCTAGTCTACCGCCGATGAAATCTCTCCGCGAAACCGCCGGCAATCCGACCTGGTTAAGAAAAGCTTTGAATTTGGGGTGCTCAAGACTTGAAAATGAGACAGACCCACAAGACTCATAGACCCAATCAGCGAGATAATCAAGTGCTGAATCAATCTGGGTCTTGCTTAGAGTTGGTCCAGCCGACGCTTTTGGACTTTTCAGCTTCTTCACACTGTCTTCCAACATAGCTAAAGCACCCAAATCTTCTTTCCCACCTGACAACATCAAATGCTGTTGCTGACCATAAAAACAACCGCCGCCGCTTCCGCCAGCACTCGCCGTAACAACAGTAGCCACCGACACCGCCGGCGGGTAAGCAAGCTCCACCGAAAACCGGGTCGGATCAACAATAGCAAGCGGAGGAACCTGGTAAGAAGAAGAAGAAGAAGCTCCGCCGCCTCGACCACCGGAAGAAGAGCGTTTGCGGTGGTTAGGATGGTGGTGAGAAGTAGAAGAAGGGGAAGTGAGACCAGGAAGCGAAGTGGGAGAAACAGAGGAAATGGGTTTTGGGGCGGAATTGAAATTCGGGCAAGTCCCTCTCTTGAGATGCTCTGAAGCAGTCCTTGATGGGTTCGAAGCAGAGAAGAGAGCGTCACAAAGAGAACACCTCAATTTCACAGCTTTAGGCAAACCCGTATCGGAATTATGAACCAATATGGGTTCCAGGTGTGCCCAATACCAAGCCCCTTTGCCCTTAATCGCTTTGGTCCGCACCATCACCAACCCTTCGTACCTCTTCTGCACCGCCTTCGCGGCCACCTCGTCGGCAGATGGAGCTGCCGACGAGGACTCCACGGGTTGGGTTGCGGTGTTAGTTGCTGCCATTGTTGCAATAACACGGGCAATTGATGAATGAGAGAGTGTTATAGAGCAAAATGTATGTGAAAAATTCGATTTTTTTCAAGGGTTGGGGGGATTTTGGGGTGAAGGCTGAGGTGTCATCGTTGTTGTTGGAGGGGTTGAAGGGTGGTTAGTGGTTGCATTTAGCGGAGGAAAGAGGCGGCGGCGGCGGCCGGAGGTTGAATCTCCGCCGGGAGGTCCATGGCGGAGTCCGGCGATCTGGTGATTTGGGAAGTTGTGATGTTAAGGATTCTCCAACATGGTTGCGAAACAGGTCGCAATTGGAGAGAGAGAGAGAGAGAGAGAAGAGAGAGGTGAGCAATGAGAAACAAGTTGGGAAGTCAGGAGAGAGAGGGGTTTTGAGAGAGAGAGACAGGGGTCTCTCGTGTAGTTTGTGCTGTTCTAACAGAACTGTGATGTTCACACACACGTTCACTGCGCTTGGGGAACATAATTTAAAGCCATGTTGACGTAATAGTAAGAGTTATTTACCCAATGCCTCTTGAATTATTCATAAATATCATTTTGACCATTAAATTATGAAAGTATACGAAGGGATATTTGACAACTCAGGCCTAGTTTGGGAAGACTAAATAAGTATACTTTTTGACTTTTTATGAAATATGGGTTGGGTTTGAGTTGGGTTTGAAGTGATGTGTTAGAGAGGTGATGTAACTTAAATAAGATGATGTGACTTAAATAGGATAGTGACTTTTTGACTTTTTGTCTTTTTTCAATCATGCCAAACTTGGCCTTAGTTAAAAGTTAATTATTAGTTTTTAACATATTTTAGATTATATCATTTATCTATTTTTTAAAAAAATATAAAAAAAATTAACTTTTAACTAATTTTTCAAAATAAACCAAATTAATTTCTTAAATTATTGGTTGTAAATAATTCAAGCCTCTTTTGAGAAGTGACTTATAAGGCTTGGTTTGGGAAGTAGGTTGGCTTTTTGGCTTTTTGGCTTTTTTGGCTATTTTAGCCTGGGCTAAAAAGCTTGGTTTGGGAAGGGCTTTTTGGCTTTTTGGCTTTTTTGATTTTTTTTGTGAGAGAAAAATGTAATGATTATAGGTTGGATGTGATGTTTTGTTTGTTATGGCTAAAATAGCCTATTTTGTTTTTTGTGGCTAAAATAGCCAAAAAAGCCTGAAAATCAACTTGCCAAACAGAGGCTAAGTCATCTTTTTGACTTTTTAACTTATTTAAATTACATTACTTTTCTATTTTTTACATTTCTATTTGTAACAAATAAATAAAAACTACAATCTTAGTTGACTCTTCACAAAATAGGCCTCAATACAATAATAATAATAATAATAAACAAATAATGTTAAAATGTCGTTATTATTCTAATTCAAAAGTTAGATCTACTTTTTTTTAAGTTAGGGTTGGTTTGGAAAGTGGGTTGGCTTTTTGACTTTTTAATTTTTTTGACTATTTTTGTCTAGGCTAAAAAAACTTGATTTGGGAAAGACTTTTTGACTTTTTTGACTTTTTTTTGTGAGAGAATAGTGTAATGATTATAGGTTGGATGTGATGTTTTGTTTGTTAGGACTAAAATAGCCTATTTTGTCTTTTATGACTATTTCAACCACAAACCATCTTCCCAAACGGACCCTAATATCGTGCTAATAAATTATAATATCTAAGATAATTCTCTCATATATTTTTTAATCATTTAGTCAAGGGAAAATCGGTCTAGGGTCCCTCTTCCACTTTTCATAATGGAAGAGATCCACAAAATTATTTTTTGATGTCTAAGGTCCCTAAACATATATCAGATAAAAGTTTCACTGGCTCATCTCTTTCCACTCACTGAAAGACCTCTCGATCGTCTTCAACACTGGACAATTCGATTTACACAAACTCAATTTGACCGATTCAATGATCGGAAACTCCGAAACCAAACTTCAATTAGAAACCCTAGGTTTGTCCGGGATTCAACACTGCGATTACGGCCTCAGTTGGCTCTGGAGGAGTTGTAAACAGCTCAAGAAACTCCAATTACGAAGCTGCTATGCAATCGGCGATGAATCATCACTCTCATCGTTCGTCGAATGCTTAATTGGTCTCCAAGAAGTGGAATTGTGGACATGTAGGGCGATAATCAACGAGGTTCCTCTTCCTCCTCCTCTTTCATACACTTTCTCATTCTAGGGTTTCAAGTTCTTGAACCCCTTCAATTTCATTTTAATTCATCATCCCCTGTTTTCCCTACTATTCCGTCAAGCTTTTACAGTCTATTTCATACACTTTCCTTACTCTTCTGTCCCTAATGCTTTAGATTTGCACCTTAGAGAGAGAGAGAGAGAGAGAAGAGAGAGGTGAGCAATGAGAAACAAGTTGGGAAGTCAGGAGAGAGAGGGGTTTTGAGAGAGAGAGACAGGGGTCTCTCGTGTAGTTTGTGCTGTTCTAACAGAACTGTGATGTTCACACACACGTTCGCTGCGCTTGGGGAACATAATTTAAAGCCATGTTGACGTAATAGTAAGAGTTATTTACCCAATGCCTCTTGAATTATTCATAAACATCATTTTGACCATTAAATTATGAAAGTATACGAAGGGATACTTTGACAACTTGGTTAAAAGTTAATTATTAGTTTTTAACATATTTTAGATTATATCATTTATCTATTTTTTAAAAAAATATAAAAAAAATTAACTTTTAACTAATTTTTTAAAATAAACCAAATTAATTTCTTAAATTATTGGTTGTAAATAATTCAAGCCTCTTTTGAGAAGTGACTTATAAGTCATCTTTTTGACTTTTTAACTTATTTAAATTACATTACCTTTCTATTTTTTACACTTCTATTTGTAATAAACAAATAAAAACTACAATCTTACTTGACTCTTCACAAAATAGGCCTCAATACAATAATAATAATAATAATAAACAAATAATGTTAAAATGTCGTTATTATTCTAATTCAAAAGTTAGATCTACTTTTTTTTTAAGTTAGGGTTGGTTTGGAAAGTGGGTTGGCTTTTTGACTTTTTGATTTTTTTTGACTATTTTTGTCTAGGCTAAAAAAACTTGATTTGGGAAGGACTTTTTGATTTTTTTGACTTTTTTTTGTGAGAGAATAGTGTAATGATTATAGGTTGGATGTGATGTTTTGTTTGTTGTGGCTAAAATAGCCTATTTTGTCTTTTATGGCTATTTTAGCCACAAACCATCTTCCCAAACGGACCCTAATGTCGTGATAATAAATTATAATATCTAAGATAATTCTCTCATATATTTTTTAATCATTTAGTCAAGGGAAAATCGGTCTAGGGTCCCTCTTCCACTTTTCATAATGGAAGAGATCCACAAAATTATTTTTTGATGTCTAAGGTCCCTAAACATATATCAGATAAAAGTTTCACTGGCTCATCTCTTTCCACTCACTGAAAGACCTCTCGATCGTCTTCAACACTGGACAATTCGATTTACACAAACTCAATTTGACCGATTCAATGATCGGAAACTCCGAAACCAAACTTCAATTAGAAACCCTAGGTTTGTCCAGGATTCAACATTGCGATTACGGCCTCAGTTGGCTCTGGAGGAGTTGTAAACAGCTCAAGAAACTCCAATTGCGAAGCTACTATGCAATCGGCGATGAATCATCACTCTCATCGTTCGTCGAATGCTTAATTGGTCTCCAAGAAGTGGAATTGTGGACATGTAGGGCGATAATCAACAAGGTTCCTCTTCCTCCTCCTCTTTCATACACTTTCTCATTCTAGGGTTTCAAGTTCTTGAACCCCTTCAATTTCATTTTAATTCATCATCCCCTGTTTTCCCTACTATTCCGTCAAGCTTTTACAGTCTATTTCATACACTTTCCTTACTCTTCTGTCCCTAATGCTTTAGATTTGCACCTTACAATGAACAAGTGTGATGATCAATCTGGGAAGTAAGATGCAAAAGAACAAGAAATGGAATGTCTGGTTGTAGGAGATGCAGCTGTTTCAGAGCCTGGGGAGACTAAGAGTTTTGGGGAGGAAAAAATTTCAACTTCTTCTATGTTTGAAACAGATGCTTTAGTTCCTGAAATTGAAAAGACTGAGAAGCAAGATGTAGAAGCACAAGCGAGTAATGATCTTATTTTGCAGATGCTCTTTTGAAGCACTGGTGGACAGACATGGATGAAAGATTATGCATGGATGAAAGACTCTGGATGCTCTTTTGTATGTTTTATGGACAGAGAAAAAGTTCCTTTATCACATCATACATGGATGGAAGATTCTGCTTCTAATGGACAGCCATCTACTTGTTGTGAACCAGAATTTCTCTGTGAAGTCCAGAGAAAATTCGACCAGAGAAATTCTCTGTGAAATGTGAAGTTCAGAGAAAATTGGACCAGAGAAAATCTCTGTAAACTAGAATTTCTCTGTGAAGTCCAGAGAAAATTCGTCTAGAGTCTCTAGATCGAATTTTCTCTGACTAGTTGAGTCTAATTGATTCAATTTCCCCTTCTACAGCTTGTACTATATCTGTCAACTACACAAATAATGTGTTCTTGTACATGTGTGCTTTTGGTATTGTTGTTGTTTCTTGGTAATAAAGTTTGTGCAGCATTTGTGCTGTTTAGTTACTGATATAGAGGTTGATGAAGATGTCGAACAAGAAGATAAACCTGGAGTTCAAAACCTCAGCATCTCTGTGTTCTACAAGAGGCAAAGTAGTCAAGTAAAAGTCCTTTTCATCTCATTATTGCTCCGAGCCTTCACTTCCAACTCGGCCGAATCCAGTGACCGTGACGATAATTCGGGCTTAAGCATTAGCGATTGTATGGAAAAGTGCTGGAACAATTGCAGTTGTGTTGGGTTCACCACAAGCAATAGCAATGCTAGTCCAGAGAAATTCTCTGGATTCCAGATTAAGCATTCCAGGTTCCAAATTGTGAATTGAATTTTTTTTTTTTCATTTGAAGTTGAAACCAGAGAAATTCTCTGGTTTTTGAATTGAATTTTCTCTAGGTTGAAACCAGAGAAATTCTAGATTTTCCAGAGAAATTTGGACTGAAATTTCTCTGGACCAATTTTCTCTGGACTGAAATTTCTCTGGACCAATTTTCTCTGGACTGAAATTTCTCTGGACCAATTTTCTCTGGACTGAAATTTCTCTGGACCAATTTTCTCTGGACTGAAATTTCTCTGGATCAAGGTTGAGGGACCTTAGACATTATGAAAATATTGTTGATGGACCTTAGACATCATAAAAATATTTGATGTCCTTTATGCTATAAAATCATAAGATCAAGGATCTTAAAAAAAAAACCCCTTTAGTCAATCATCTCTTTAAGGCATTATGAGTTTAGAACATAGGTTAAAAAAATGAATTCATATATCATTTTTCTTGCGAAAAATACTAAGGATTCGTTTGAAAAGTGGGTTGACTTTTTGACTTTTTT